GGGGGGGGGGGGGGGCAGCGCCATTAGGCCTTTGGCTTTTTCAACAAACTGTTCTAGATCAGGAAAATATTCCTGCACAGACACACCTCTTTTATTTTTAGTCGATCTGAGGAATAACTTGATGTCATCAAGCTCATAATTCCGGCCTGCAAACTCACATTGAGAGAGAGACACACACTTGAGTAAGAAGACTCACCATCACTCTCAGTATCCTGCTCCTCATCCTTATGTATTTCACTTTTTTGCTTATTTTAGCATCAAGTACTTTGTCACTTTTCTTCCTTTTTTGAGGTATTTTAAAAATAGATTGCTCATTTTCCATTCTAAGACAGTTATGCAAACTCACATTGAGAGAGAGACACACACTTGAGTAAGAAGACTCACCATCACTCTCAGTATCCTGCTCCTCATCCTTATGTATTTCACTTTTTTGCTTATTTTAGCATCAAGTACTTTGTCACTTTTCTTCCTTTTTTGAGGTATTTTAAAAATAGATTGCTCATTTTCCATTCTAAGACAGTTATTCACCTCACACATTTCTTTCAGTTGTGCTGAAGTATTTCCTGAAGTTCTATCATTTTGCTCATCTCCATTGTCTCCAGAACATTGTGCCACACATGCTAGATCCTTCACACCAGCATCTGAAAGCGTTTCAGTGTGAGCCGAATGCGAGGGCCGATGTGACGAGGTCGATGCAGTCACAGACTCACTGGATAGACCTGTAGCCGTCACAACTGAGCCTTCCCCTGGGGATATCACCGCAGCTGCACCGGCAACACCAGCCGCATCACCACTTTCAGCATTCTCGCTTACTACATTCCTTTCATTTGCTGCAACTTTGTAAGGACAGTTGCGAATTAAATGCCCAAAATTGTTACAACCAAAACATTTAATCTTTGCAGTGGTGACAAAAACAACAATCAAAATCGTCAATCCAAAAATTGAGTGACATGTCCAGATCAGCGTCATCCTTAGTGACCATATAAGCGAAACGCCTGAAAGAAACAATATGTTTCAACAGAGGCTCTTGTCACACTGCATGATTGGGATCTTTTTGATCGGGGAAACCAATGTACCATATCGAGATAAAGCCTGAGTTAAAATATCATCGCTCACAAAAGGTGGGACATTTGACAAAGTGACTCACTCAGCCGGTAGAGAAAGGGGCAGAACAGGGACAAGTTCACCACTGATAACTATGCCGTGCTCAACTATTTTATTAGCTTTATCTATACTGTCAAGAAAAACTACATTGGCACCGTTCATTCTTGAGGTGGACAGCACACTCTCATGCCCCACCACCTCTCCAATTGCCAAACAACAATCTTCCACACTCATCGCGGACGCCACGCCGCGTAAGTGAGCTTAACCCCTGCATGCGTGGGGCCGACATGCTTCCTCAATAAAGCGGATAGCACGCGGTCCCGAAAAATGCAAAAAAAACAACTAGAAACACGCAGTTTAGAATAGACACAGCAAAGAGAGGGAAAAAGAGAAAAGTTTCACTCACAACACTCCACTCGCACTCACAGTACTCTGCCTACCCACGCTCACACACGCACCGGAAGTGAGTGAGAAAGAGATGGATAGATAGATATACATATTCAGAAGATAGATAGATAGATAGATAGATAGATATAAATAGTCAGATGATAGATAGATATAACTAGTCAGATGATAGATAGATTGATATAAATAGTCAGATGATCAAGTCAAGTCAAGTCAAGTCAAGTCTGCTTTATTGTCAATTCTTCCACATGTACAGGACATACACACAGAGAATTGAAATTGCGTTACTCTCAGACCTGTAGCGAATTTAACTCATGGGGAAATATGAATAATTAACCATAACTAATTATGATTAATTATTAATATTTTAGATCCACTGTAGATATTTAGCTGACCACTCAGGGTCAACCGTCTTGTCAATTCTAAGAACGTTAATTTCCTGGTTAAAGGAAATAACTTTCTTACTGTACAATTCTATAAGTTTGTAACATAAATCTGCATGATTATTGACTCAGTCTCTTACAGTCCTCTGAGTTGAGCGTAGTAGTCGGATGTAGTCCAGTTTATTGTCCAAAGAGCGTACGTTAGCCAGTACGATGGTGGGGATAGTAACACAAATTTTAGCATGATTAGCAAGTTGCAAGCAAGTTTCTAGCATGATTAACATGTGACTAACATGTTGTTAGCATGATTAACAAATGACTAGCATGTCATTAGCTTGATTGGCAAGTTAAAAGCATGTCGCTATCATGTTGCTAGCATCATTAGCAAGTGACTAGCATTTTTCTAGCATGATTAGCAAGTTACTAACATGTCGTTAGCATGTTTCTAGCATTAGCAGCAAGTGACTAGCATGTTGCTAGCATGATTAGCAAGTTACTAGCATGTTGCTAGCATGATTAACAAGTGACTAGCATGTCGTTAGAATGATTAGCAAGTTACTAGCATGTCGCTAGCATGATTAGCAAGTGACTAACATGTTGCTTGCATCATTACAAAGTGACTAGCATGTCGCTAGCATGATTAACATGTTACTAGCATGTCGCTAACATGTTTCTAGCACGATTAGCAAGGGAGTAGCATGTCGCTAGCATGTTTCTAGCATGATTAGCAAGTTACCAACATGTTGCAATCAGCATGATTAGCATGCTACTAGCATTTGTTTGCTAGCATTATTAACAAGTGACAAGCATGTTTCTAGCATGATTAGCAAGTTACTAGCATATTGTCAGATGATAGATAGATAGATGCATAGATAGATAGAAATAGTCAGATGATAGATAGATATATAGATAGATAGATAGATAGATAGAAGCAGACAGATAATAGATAGGTATTGTCAGGTGATTGATAGATAGATAGATAGACAGATGAGCTTGAATGGGTTAGAAATAGTACATAGAAAGGTTGCTATGGTGTTGTTATGCGGTTGCTAGAGTACCCGGGAAGGTTGCTAAGGTGTTTATGTGGTTGCTAGGATGTAGATAGCATGATTATCTAGTTACTAGCATGTCGCTAGCATGTTTCTAGCATTATTAGCAAGTGACTAGCATGTCGCTAGCATGTTTCTAGCATGATTAGCAAGCTACTAGCATGTTGTTTACATGTTTATAGCATGATTAGCAAGTGACTAGCATCATTAACAAGTGACTAGGATGTCGCTAGCATGATTAGCAAGATACTAGCATGTTGCTAGCATGTTTCTAGCACGATTAACATGTTACTAGTATCTCGCTAACATTAGCAGCAAGTGACTAGCATGTCGCTAGCATGATTAGCAAGTTACTAGCATGTGGCTAGCATGTTTCTAACATAATTAACATGTGACTAGCATGTTGTTACCATGATTAACAAGTGACTAGCATGTCATTAGCATGATTAGCAAGTGACTAACATGTTGCTTGCATCATAAGCAAGTGACTAACATGGCACTAGCATGTCGCTAGCATGTTTCTAACATGATTAGCAAGTGACTAACATGTTGCTTGCATTATAAGCAAGTGACTAGCATGTCACTAGCATGTTGCTAGCATGTTTCTAGCACGATTAGCAAGTTACTAGCATGTCGGTAGTATGTTTCTAGCATGATTAGCAAGTGACTAGCATGTTTGCTAGCATGATTAACAAGTTACTAGCATGTCGCTAGCATGTTTAACAAATGACTAGCATGTCGCTAGCATGATTAGCAAGTTACTAGCATGGTTAGCAAGTTACTAGCATGTTTCTAGCATGATTAACAAAGTTACTAGCATGTCGCTAGCATGATTAACAAGTTACTAGCATGTTGCTAGCATGTTTCTAGCACAATTAGCATGCTACTAGCATGTTGCTTGCATGATTAAAAAGTGACTGGCATGTTGTTAACATGATTAGCAAGTGACTAGCATGTTGCTAGCATTATTAGCAAGTGACTAGCATGTTGCTAGCATG